GGTTGCTGATGAGGCATTGTCCACGCTGTCTACATGAGGCGACTGGTTGCAAGGGAGAGGAAGATCGGCATCTGTGGTTATAGAGCATTGGGTACTCGCTTGTGGCTGACGTCGTCACCGGACATTTGCTGTGTCTTCAGAGTCCTCATGAGATAACGTGCCACGTGGCACTACTGTATGAAACCAGGATTATTCTCATTATCATTGATGATGTAGTGTGGAGCAGCCCCGAGAAGGAGAGGGATCATAAGGGTTCTGTGTATTCTCTCTTCCTCTCCTATGTCTATTCTCCCTCCACACTGTTCTATTTTTGGATAATGAGATACTGTTTGTGACATCACTTCACGATCTCGAGATTTTCAGACAGATATTGAAACTACTGCTGATTGACAACTTCTGGGTATCTATCAGACTGGGTTCATTACACTTTTTTTTTTTCTTTTTTTTTTTAAATACTTTTCCTGAAAAGATCTCGACCTAATCTACCGGATCCCAAATTTTCAGATTTTCCTGTGCATTATTCGGGGCGCAAAAATTTGCTGAAGTTAGTGCTCGAAAATTGTGCAGCTGGACCCGGTGGTTGCCTGTTTGTCAGCGCCCCCCCACCAAATGCGCCCCGTACTGGCCGAAAGTGGTTGCCTGTTGGTCAGCACCCCCCCACCAAATGCGCCCCGTACTGACCGAAAAGCTCATTTTCGGCCGGTGGGGGGACTGGTGGTTTAACAAAACAAATGAACGAGCGCCGTTGGGTTTTTTCTTGCATTGCTGCTTATGAAACAAAGCGGAAGGATTTCCTCCGTCAATTCTTTATACATGAACCTCGCGCCATTAGACAAGCATAAAGTGCAGCAAGACATGCTGGACAATACATGCTATTATTTACCATTGACCTTCAGGGTTAGTGGCAGAACGTTCTAGATTAATCTACGCAGAGTAAATTGGTCCCTAAGAAAACCCAGAAAAGCGAATTCACAACGCCTTGGGGCCGAAGCATGGTCCAGATACACTAGGACTGACTAGACATTTTGAATTACGGGGACCACTTTCAGCCCCAGCCACGTTTAAAATGTTATGTGGTGAAGTGGAGCCAGACCCCATGATTGAAAATAAGCCAAACCAGGAGGACTTCATTAGGACCCAAACAAAAGGGCCTGGGGTTTGGGGGGTTTGAGGGGAGGGAAGCGAGGGGTGGCGGAACGGTCATCAATTAGACACAGGATTTCCTTCTCAAATTCCTTTGTCCATGACTCAACAAAACAAATCGTACGGATAAGAAAGGTTGGCAGGACAACCAAAACCGTCACATGTACACTCATGCAGTCCTTAGCTAGTTTCTCAATGTAGCCTTAAGACTTTCACGCATCTTACCTCCTTGACAACTCCTCTCTCTCTCTCTCTCTCTCTCACACACACACACACACACACACACACACACACACACACACACACACACACACACACTACTCAGTTCTATGTACGTCCTTCTGTTCGTCTTATCTCCTGTTTTCTTACTTTTTGTGCGCCCAGCTGACCACCTTTAAGTGGTGCCAAATAGTTTCCTCATTTGGAGTGCCTGCAACACTCTTAGGGGGGCTGCTCAGTTCGGGATGTCTGTCTCATGTGGGTGATGGTGGATGTCCATCTGAGTGAATCCCTGGCTCAACGGGTGGCGGGAACCAACAGTCGGCGGTGAACAATCGTGCTGCGAGTAGGCGATGTGCCACCTTGCTGCATGCTGGATGTGGACTGCCTCGTTGGCCTCGTCTGCGCTTCGTCGCTGCCTTGCTGCCCGTCCCACTTACTTCGCATGTGTTTCTCTGCAAGTTGCTGTGTTCTCTGTGTAATGTGGACGCGTGCGGTGTTGGTGTTGCCTTGTGCCTCACTGTGTTGCGGCCTCGTCGCCCATCAACAGGCCATTCCTTCAGCATCCTTTGCTTGCGTGCCTCGTAATTTGGTTGCCTTTGTTGGTGTTGCCTTGGTGGTGTTGCTTCACTGCATAATTGCCGCGCTGCCCATCTGCTTGCCATGTCATTCCTTGCAATAGTCATTGACGTTAAGCAGCCGTATTGCCTCTGCAGCGTTGCCTGGTGCTTTGCTGGGTTGCAGCCCGCTACTGTGTTCCGCTTGGGGGCAGTCTCCCTTCAACATGGGCCAAAGGGTTCATGCCCCAAACGATCAATACGGAGATTCCGCAGATTGTGGAGGATCTTCATCCATCGCCTCACCGTGCACTAACTTTTGCTTTGCAGCTTTCTGCCCCCTGCCGCCGTGTCTTCCTCCGCTGCTTACTGGGGTGGCTAGTTGTTTGCCGCCTTGCTTTCCTTGCTTCGCTGACTTCGCACTGCCGCTTGGCTTGCTGCCTCTTGCCTATTCTCCTGCTGCCTCCGGCGTGGTGACCCCTAGTTCTTATCTGTTTTGCCTCAATTCTAGGGTTTTTAGCTTCCGTCTGTTTGGGATGAAGCTTCATTTTGGTCATACCGAAAGAAGTGGAGGATATATTTTTTGGTATGTTTCTTGTCTTGCTTTTTCCGACGCAACTTGCTGCGGTTTATTCTCGCCGGGTTTTCATCAATCATCAAACACACACATGCGCATGTGGGGAATCTCGCACCATGCAAGGAAACGGTATTTGCAGCCCATCCATTCTTCCCTTCGTACTCTAACTCTGGAACAGACACAAAGCCTGACAAAACAGAGTAGCACAGTCATGCACTTTTCGCAGAGCTAAAACTATAATGAACATGACGCGCACACACACACACACACACACACACACACACACACACACACATCAACCTCCTGATAAGCCGGTGAAACTCCGACGAAACGGTATAGCGAATATGCTGACACACACACACACACACACACACACACACACACACACATCAACCTCCGATAAGCCGGTGAAACTACGACAAAACAGTCTAGCGGATATGCTCACACACACACACACACACATCAACCAACCCAACCAACCAGACCCATCCAATCCAACCCAACCCAACCCAACCCAACCCACTCAAACCAATCCAACCCCACCCCACCCCACCCAACCAAACCCCGAACCAAACCAGACCAGGCCAGACCAGACCAGACCGAGGCAAGACAAGCGAACCCAACCCGAGCCACACCCACCCAACCTAGCCACACCAACTCAACCCCAACCAAAGCCAACCACATGCAAACTAGCCACCCCAACTCAACCCGACCCAAGCAAACCAGCTTGTGGCATCTGCCTTGCACAAGTCCGCCCTTCATCATTTCCCCTATGGATACGGCCATATACACACTGGGACTCTATACGATGTATCTGAGGGCAATTACATCCCCATATAGAGTCGTAACGTGAAGTCGTTCGAATTAAACAAAGGAAGGGCAAGAAAGGACGGGAAAGTGAATTTGGCTGTCGTGGCAGTCAGATACAGACCACAGGCGCAAAAGAGGGCACACAACAACAAAAAAAAGAACACTCTTTCGACGGACAATTAAGGTGCCAACAACAACAAAGGATTGGAAACATGCACGGCATGATCACAGAAAAGCCCTTTTTCGACTGATTTCTGCCCGCGATCCAGGTCAGATACATCCAGCATTGGCTGTAAATTCCAGTCCGATAATCAATTCAGGAAAGTCCTCTTGCGAGCATGCCCGTATAGATTAATGCCTGAATCTTAATTGAATTGCAGTCCGGTACATCCAGTCGATTGAATTGCAGTCAGGTACATCCAGTAACGACTACAGAAAGACAAAAGGAGAAATGGAGAAAAAGAGGAAAGCAGGAGCGCTGACATCACCAGCGAGAAGACAGCGAAGAGGGAGACCAAGCAAAGAGACTCAGAAAACAACAACGAACAGGGGAAGACCAATCAGAGCTCAATCTTTCTTAAAAACGGAAAAACCGTTTGGCTTCTTCTTCTTTTTTTCTTTTCTTTTCTTTTTTTTTTAAGCCAAACGGAACCAGGAGAGGTGGTAAGGGAAGATGAAGCGATCACGGGTTCAAGTAAGACACAGAGCGAGAGCGAGAGCGAGAGAGAGAGAGAGAGAGAGAGAGAGAGAGAGAGAGAGAGAGAGAGA